CAAAATGCTTTGTAACCGGGAAAAGTGCTGTTTATCGGCACTGCTGGCACAAGACCCAATTTAGCCACAGGTGAACAAGTGACCAATCAAATGCTTTCCTCCCTCTGAGCCTTGGTCTGCTCATAAATGACGACTGAACAATCTGCCTCCATAGGCTTCTGCCCCTGCAGCATTGCGACCCCTCCACCATGACATCAGAAGCAGGAGTGTTCTGTCACCAGCTACCTCGAGCTGCAGCCCTGATGTCACTGACTGGAGGAAACAGACAAGGAAGCAGCAGGCCTGTGACAAGAAGGGTCGTGGCCCCTGGCTAGGCCCCCATATATAGCTTCTCACTCTTTATACCACAACCTAGAAAAACCCACAGACACTCACGTGTTCATAGTTTTTAAAAATGGAGAAGACTCATGACGTGTGCGTGTCACTTCCCGATCTGAGTCCCTTGAAGGGAACTTCTCCCAGTGGGAATGAGCCTGTGGCCTCACCTTTCTTCCTGCCGTATTCTCCTCTCTTCTTGCTCCCTCATGGCCTTCTCCTCACTCTTGTCTGGCTTCCGGCTCTTCTTCTTCCTGCAGCAGCAGTAGCAGCAGCACATGGCGACTGCCAGGAGGAGGAGGCCCCCAACCACCGACATGGTGATAATCAACGCCTCGAAGTTCACTGCAAGTGAGGGGTGAGTCAGAGCTGCCGGGCACGGAACCCGTCCGGGAGCAACGGCCCCCGGGCGGGGAGCTGTGTAGTGAGGCCTTTCTTAGGACATGGCTGCCCCACCTAACAATTTCCCCATGACCCACATGGGCCCCGGCCTCCAGGTCCACCAGACACTGAAAAGATGTTTCAAGAACAAGGAAGGTTAACAAGACCAGGAAGAGAATATTCAGCCGTGTATTTGGACTTTCCTAAAACAAAATGTAAGCCTGATGCCGCTTATTTGATAATTTACGTCAAAGTCAAGAGCAATCCATTTGTTCTGCATAGGAACTCACTTCTGACCACCGCGAGCAGACAGGACAGGGCTCTTCCCCCAAGGGCTTGAAAACAGCCGCCCATCGGCATCAACTGAGTGCACTACGTCCTGTGCAACCTAACTTCTGAGACAAAGGCAAACCCAAGACAAACTTCACTTTCTTTTCAGCTTCTCTTAAAGATTTATAGTTAAAACCAGTCACTGTTTTTCTAATACTTCTCTTGTGAGTATATTTTTTAATCATCCAGTTAAAGCAGCCACTGAAGCCCTGGCAGGTGTGGCTCAGTTTGTGGGGCACCATTCCGTGCACTGAAAGCTGCAGGCTTGATCCCCAGTGGGGGGCGCGCAGGAGGCAGCCAATCTCGGTTTCTCTCTCTCTCTCTTCCTCCTTCCTCTCTCTAAAAAAATTAATGGAAATGAGGTTAAAATGCCCACCACAGGAAGCTGAAGGTCTCCAGTCTCACTGGGTTGTGGTCAGGGTGGGGCTGGGAAGGTGAGGGTTCTGTCTTGGGGACCGGGAGGCAAGTGCGGGGCTCTGTGCCTGTGTGGACCGAGTCACATTCGGATTGGCTGCCACCAGAATAGCGCTCACTTGTGGCTTCCTCAATCACTTTACAATCAGGAATAGGTGTGACATCTGATCACATCCCTCTGAGCTACAAATCATGTTTTTTCCTTCTCTGACCTGCTCTAGAAGCACTAGAGTTGCTAGTACTAATATAGTTAGAAAACAGACCTTCACTAGCAAATGGTGTTTTTGACTTGAGAACTCGGTAATAATTAACTTTAAAAACCACTGAGATCCTTAGATAACTGGCTCTAAACTATATCTACCCCCAAAACAGCTCTCCTGATTAGCAGCTAAAACCAGTCGTGAAATAAAAACAGAAATCGTAGTAAGAGGAAGCAAAGCTATGGGCTCCTTTCCCTGTCAACAGCACGGCAAATCTACGACATTCTACTAAAGAAGGCAGGATGACTGGAATGACCCAACGAGGGAGTGACGCCTTGCTTCCTCCGGACAAAGGTTCAGAATGGCAAAGCCCTCACTCTCCTCCAAGCAAACACACACAGGGCGCCCCAAACATGTACGTGCTTTAACAGCTGGTAACGTGCTGAATTCTCACTCCTTTTCAGTTTAATTGACTTGAAATAATGGGGGAAGCCAGACTAAGCTTTGAACAAAGAAAAATTATCCTAAACTGCGACTAGACTTTTTTATGGGGACACACAAAAGATAAAGTTTACGGTACAATACCAGCCTCGGTTGACGCATTGAGGGTGCACAAATACCGAGTGAAATGATTCTTGATGTTTGTGACTCCATTACTTCGCGTTATCAGCAGGGCCTGGACCAGAACGGTCATCAATTTGGAAACAGGCATTGACAAAAAAAGTACTCATTTCTGTAGATTCTTTCAAATTTTGAAAATGAACTGTATGTTAATAAACACTGACTTTTATAATCAAAGTGTGTATACATTTTTGGGGACACCTTATATTTTTAAGATCATTACAATTAAGACCCCAAAACATTTTTGCCTAAACTGGATAAAAGGATTCTAAATTTTAAGAAAAAGCACCGTGGTGGCCCTGGCCGGGTGGCTCAGTTAGTTGGAGCATCGGCCCGTACGCCAAAAGGTGGGAGGTTTGACTCCTGGTCAGGGTACATGTCTGGGTTGTGGGTTTAATCCCCAGTCCAGGCCCATGTGGGAGGCAGCCGATGGATGTTTCTCTCTCTCCAAAATCAAAAAACGTATCCTCTGGTGAGGTGCGGCGGGGTGGTGGTTGCGGGAAGCACCTGTGGTATAAGGCCTGACATTAGTGTTAAGTGTGCCCTGACATCTGGTGAAACCAGGAGGGCCTTGAGTGGCCAACAAGTTCCCCATCCCATCTCCTCCCACAGGTAAGGCCCCAGCCAAATAACCCTGCTTGTCCTTACTGTGGGAACCAGGTGCAGTTCCTGCTTATTCCCAAGTGGCAGGTGTCATTTCCCTGTCATCCCTTGGAATTGCTCAACCAATCAATTACGTCTTCTCTCAGCCCCAGGCACCACGCCCTCTTGTTCCAGCAAAACCTCCTCCCACAGCCCGAAGCTCATTCCCGTATCCTCTCTCCCAGGGCTGTGACCAAGGGTGATGAATAAACTGCTGTGGAACTCATCTGTAAGCTCTTGGGAGGGACTTTCATTTCACAAGAGAATTATCAAAGCTGCCCACCACCTGGAAAGGAGCTCAACACATCATCAGCCTTCAGGGAACTGCACATTAAAACCACACAGTGAGATGCCACTCACATCCGCCAGATGGCACTACTGCGAGGATGACTTGAGTGGTCATGCTGGCAGGAACTGGACCTGGAAGCCCAGCGCTGCTTGGAGGAGCATGAGCTGGTGCACCACTCTGGGGAAACGCTAGCAGACCTACTAAGGCTGAGCACAGTGCATGCGGTAAGGCAGCAATTCCAAGCCTGCGTATTACCCTGTGGCGGGAGCTGCCACCCATTCAACACAAGATCGTCCACAGTAGCTGGAAACAGCCCAAATGGCCTTCAGCAGCAGAATAGAGGGACACCTGTGAACACTGCCCAAAGCGAGAGACAAACTGGCACCATAACACACAAGGAAGGGCCTCAGACACACAAACTACTGAATGAAGTCAGATAAGGCAGTTCAGAATTTCCTGTATGTGAAGGGCAGGGACAGGCCGCACTAACCTGTGCCGATGGCAGGTCAGTCCAGCAGCTATCCACGGGGTCCTGAGAGTAACAGCTGTGAGTGCAGGAAATGGGCTGTATATTTTGCTGAGGGGGGAATCACCTATGTACCATGTAAATGTTTACCGAACAGACGTATACATGTGTTTATGTTGTAGACTACAGCCTACAGAGAGAGAATTAACATGTGTGTACCCCGTTAGAAGTTAAGCTTCAACTTAAACAGGTCATGCCCAACACACCAGGGTCCCCTAGTCCAGGAGTGGTCTCTGTGGAACAGTGAGCAAGGACAGGTTCCATGAAGACGGCCAACAAGACGGAAGCAGAGGGCAGGGGCGAGCGAAGCCTTTCTGGTAGGAGGAGAGCAGAGAGGACGGGCAGCCATGAGTATGACAAGGGTACGCTGGCCACCGTGCCCACGCGCATGCGCACACACACTCCTGGATTTCCTGGGGTCTCAACAACACAAGTATTTCCAATGGAGGTGGATGGATTCTAAGATGGAAATCAATTAGAAGACACACAGGAAATAAGCTGCTGACACACAAAGTGAGGCAGCAAAGTCCCCTCAGGAGGAAACAACTCCTTTAGCAGCCTAAGAAGGTGACTCAGTTGGTCGACTGCATCCAGTGCACCAAGTCGCCAGTTCGATTCCTGGTCAGGGCACATGCCTAGGTTTTGGGTTTGATCCCCCGTGGGGCCTGTACTAGAGGCAACCGACAGACATTTCTCTCTCCCTTCCTCTCTTGCTAAAATGAATTTTTAAAAAAATAATAAAAGAAGGCCATGATCTCTGTATGACCTCAAACCTGAAGCCATAAAAGAAAGGACTAATAAACCCAACTACATAAAAATGAGTTTCGTGTAGCAACACACACCACGACCTAATTTAAAAGCAAACTAGAGCCCTGGACGGTGTGGCTCAGCTGGCTGTAGCACTGTCTCGTGCATCAGAAGGTCGTGGGTTTGATTCCCGGTCGGGGCACGTGCCTGGGCTTTGGATTCAATCCCCAGTCAGGGCGCGTACAGGAGTCAGCAGAACCATGTGCCTCTCTCACACTGATGCTCCCCTCACCCCTCCCTTTCTAAAAAATACATAAGTACATAAACAAGTAAATAAGCAAACTAGAAAACAATCTGATTCTCACACAGGACTAATATCCAATAAAAAAAAAACCTACAACAACCACACGCAAAGGGACACACGAGAAAAGGTGGGGACATGCCCACGCTGAGCAGGGATTCCTTACTTGGGAAGTTGGAGCCGCTACAGGAACTGCAGGTGTCAAGGCAGCCCACGAACACCACCAAGACACAAGGTAGTGAGCCATTCAAAAAGTAGCTTTCAATTCACCCGCCTACCCCCACCCAAGGGTGTGGAGACCCTGCCAAGCCAAGGCATGGCCTGAAGGTGGGCCTCCAGAACCCCAAGGACCCTCCAGTTGCTTTGAGACACCACAAGCTGTCACTGGCTTCCCGATTTCCCGCTGGGAGCATCAAAGAACTAATGGGTGTATGTTTGCTGGCAGCTTATGTTAATGAGCACAACCAGATTTTTCAAAACCTGTACTGATTTTGCAAGAAGCCAATTTTGAAAATGACCACTTACCCCAGCAAACGCCCCAGCGTGCAGAGCTCAGCTTACAAAGAGAAGCAGGCGGTAAGATTTTTGACACTGGATAGTCCATGCACGTCTTATCAGTGTTGCACCAAAGACACTGAGAGAGATAAACATCAGATGTTAGAAATTCAACGTAAACGCCAACGAACCAGCCGGACATCTTGAAGATAGTGCAACTGAGGCTCAAAGGCACCTACTGGAACCTCAGATGTTCCTGGGACCCTAACAGTGCTGGGGAGAGGTGGTCTGGGGGAAGGGACAGTGCCTTCACCCTTCACCCCAGTGTGCAGGAGGGCCTGGAGCTGGCACTGCAGCCACTGGCAACAAAGGAAGTGCAGCTCAGGCTGCAGAGAGTGCCTGTGCAGGTCAGGACTTGGCTTGTTATTTTAGATCTTGAAGGTAATAGTTTTATGGCATTTTTTTTCGAGATTTTTTTTTTTTTTAAATATATCTTTATCAGTTTTAGAGAGAGGAAGGGAGAGGGAGAGAAAGTTGAAAAAATATCAATGATGAGAGAGTTGTCACTGATAGGCTGCCTGCTGCACACCCGACTGGGGATCGAGCCCACAACCTGGGCATGTGCCCTGACCGGGAATCAAATAGCAATCTCCTGGATCCTAGGTCAACGCTCAACCGCTGAGCCGAGCTGACTTTGAGATTTTAATAGGATAGAAAATCATGGTATTTTTTTTGTCCCAGGTTAGGATGAAAGTCTACCACAAAAAATATTAAAACAAAGCATGGGCTAACCCAGGCGTCTTTACATAACACCCACTTTAGTGTGTTGTGTTTAAAATGGTTGAGCACAGTTAATGAACAGCAGGAAAAACCCCTTTTTATTTTGGCTGTTTGAGAATATCTTGCATTTTAGTGGTTTTGTTCTGGCTTAAAAATTTTTGGTAAATCTTCCATTTTCAAACAGCTTAAGTTTTAAATGTCTAATTTCCCAGTTTAATTGGCAGAGGCAAGGCCTAGCATCCACAGGTGTGTGGGGGACCCAAGACACAGCCATGTTTTTTCCCCCCACACCATTGCTTTTCAGAGAGAGAGAAATAGAGAGAGAGAGAGAAACATCGATGTGAGAGAGACACATGATTGGTTGCCTCCCACACTGGCCGTGATCAGGGCCGGGGATCAAGCCTGCAACAGAGGTACGTGCCCTTGGCTGGAATCAAACTTGGGACCCTCCCTTCTGCAGGCTGACGCTTTAACCACTGAACCAAACTGCCTAGGGCCACAGCCATGTTTTTGTAAAAACACAGCCCACATTTTGAAGTGGAAATCGTCTGATATATCTTTCCTGGCCTGCCCCGTGCCATTCAACCCCACTGCCAGGGAGAGAGAGAAACAAAGGCTTTGTAGTTCCAACACACGCAGACACCTGGCTAGAAGGGGGAGGCAGCCTCTCCAGAGCCCCAGGCCAAGGCCCCACAAAGGTGGTTTTCTCTCCTAGCCACCCCTCCCCATCAGCTTCTCTCAGGTTCTCAGTGCTCACCACACAGTATTGCAGTGACACAGAGCCAGACACTCACAGGCTGCTGGATCAGGTGCTGTCCGGAAGTCAATGCCTCAGGAGTGGCAATAGGACCCTAATAAAGCAGTGCTATTCCCACAAGTCCAGTGATGAGCCGGATATGGTGGGAAGTTTCCCCAGCATCACATGTGACTCTCCACTTCTCCCCAATGGCTGGCTGCAAACACCTACGTGTTAGATCCCAGGATGGCCCCTCTGGAGGTGACCCCCATGAGCCTTGGGCCTGCACTCCAGAGCAGCTACCCTCTTGCTTAAGGTCACACAGGAGCTTATAAGAACTACAGACACTGGAACATCCCGAATGTGAGGCTCACTTTGTGACTAGTGAGCTATGGACAGTCTGACCCCACTGGACAAGAGCCCCCTAAGTCCCTCACTGATCTGACACCTGTCTCTCTCCTGGCTCTTGCTTCTCTTCTCCATTCCTGTGTGAAGAGCTGAGAGAGAAGCACCTCCCTGACCCTGCTGAAGGCCCGGGAAACAGAGCTAGGACTCTGGCTAGAGGTCTGGAGACGGCCCATGTACGTCACCCCAGCACTGAGCACAGTGGTGGATGAAAAGGGCTCTGGGCCCTCCTGCCATGTCTCCACGGCCCATCTGCAAGATGGAGTCATAACCCCTGTCCCCAACAGGCCTCCAAGGTCTAACGACACCAACACGAGGCCCTAGTCACAGTTGTTGATTACAAGTAAATATGACCCCTCAGCCCACAACTTGACCCATCTGTTCTTCTGTCCCCGGAGCCCCCACCCTGAGCAATGTTGCTCACCGTCTACTGCCACCTCCGGGAGGTCTGAGGTTTCCCCACCAGCCCACACAGGCTCCCAACCACAGGCCTGGCGTACACCTTTTATAACCCCACACCTGTTTCAGGAGTTAAATATGCCCATTAGTGATGCTCAGGTGGTATCTGTAGCCATCACGGGACGATCGCTTGAGATACCTGAGAAAGGCTAAAATATTTAATAACTGTCATGACAATACCCCACATCCCCAATAGCAAAACCCTTAACACACACCAGGGACCCCCCGTTGGAGAAAGTGGGCTGCTTTCAGTCACGTGCTGGCCCACATGCTACTTACAGAGACATTTTTCAGGCATTCTTGGCAGGTCCTGTTTGTGTTCTCGGAACAAGCTGTGGGGGGAAAAAACAACAACAAATCACTGAGAATCATGCGTATCAGCCAGGAAGGCAGGCAGGGTGCTAGTGAGTGATGCTCAGGGTCCTTTCCGGCCACCAAGCCTCCAGGGACAGAGTGGTTACCGAGCCCCGCTGAACCAAGAGGTACACGAAAGCAGCACACGATTGTACCCACGGGGGTCTTCCGGGAAACACGACTCAGCACACCCTCAGGAGAACCACGGGGTCAGGTACCACGGACCACTAGCCAGCTGGGGCCACCAGCTCAGCCGTAGACACTCTCTGTGGAAACAAAGGCCACAGCAATGCCAGGCCCACATGACTAAAGCCAGGGTTTCGGGCCTGGCCAGCCCCCAGCCCCTCAGATGAGGACATGCTCTGGGCACACGGGAGAAGCTGGCTGTAATGAGCAGCAGCACCTGGGACTCTCCCAGCACTGCTGCTTCAGGGAGGGGTAAACCCCACACTGAGAACGTGTATATGAAGGAAATATTTCCCATACGCTATCAGGCAGCTATTACCTACCCCAGCCTATCCCTTAAAACACCCGCTTTGAAAAGAGCTCTGCACAAACTCATTAATCACCAGGAATCGCTACTTAAAGTCATGATAAGATTCCCCTCCACACCCACCAGAATGGCTAAAATTAAAAAGACTGATAATAATATACATGGGCAAGGCTACAGAGCAAATGGGGACTCGCGTACAGTTTTGCTGAACGTAGATCTGGCACTTCCTCACAAAACAAACATATGTGCCTGCCTTGTGACTCAGCAATTCCATGCTTGGGTATTGTACCCAGGAAAAGTTGGAGCAAATGTCCACAGGAAGACTTGTATAGGAGTGTTCATTGCAACTTTATTTTTAATACGCCAAAAGCTGAAAACAGCCAAGATGTTCATGTATGCTATATACATAAAACGTGGATGGATCTGTAAACAATCATCTAAACGGAGCAGTTGAAAATGGAGCCGGAGCTACCATGCCAGACGAACCGTCTCGCATGTTTTCCCTCCCAAATCTTTGGAATGTCAGAAAAGGACAAAATAAGCTTTGGACTGCACCTGAGCAACCTTGTGTCTCAAAAAACTATTTGTAAAGATGACAAGAATGCAGGTACTATGAGTACTGGACTGAAAGTTAAAAACTGCTTAGAATTAACGTCACTATATTATGTTATCTGCACCAATAACGATGCCTTCCTCCTACTGATGTAACTGTTCCCCTTCCCCTCCTCATCAATACCCAATGCTTCTGTCTCCTGTAGGGAACACGACTTGGGCTTCTGCCTAAATTAGCACATCCAGAATAACTACTCTTACTGACCTCAGATAAATGCTTGCTGCCTCTCACTTTGAAAGGCCTTTTATTTTCAGGTTAGCAGATCTCATAGCTCATCCAACTGTATACTTACGTTCCTGCATTTCACTGTTACCTAAAGTTTATCTCAAGAAAAGAAATGCTAAACTGTAGTTAATGACACAGTGAAGTACTGGGGGGAGGGGCACGAAGCCTGCACCTTCCTTCAAGATGCCTTCAGCACAGGATAGGGGGGCCCAGGACGGAGGCGGCACAGACAACCTGCTGGATAAGCGTGGCCAGGTGTCCAAGTGCGCATGAGGCTGCTCTCGCAGCTCCGCTGCACGAAGAGTTTCATAATAAAATGCAGGGGAAGAGAGCTTAGCTTCAGGTTACAATTTTTATTCACCGTACTTGCTAAGTGGGACTTCCTCTAAAACAGTTGATTCCTCTATTTAATAGTGTAGTTTTTCTACATTCCATTCCTTTACATAAAATACTATTTTATTTCAAGTGAAATCAAAATTCTTTTCGCGTATTATTCTGCAGCAATTATTACTAAATAGTACTCTTTTCAGCGTCTCTAATGGTGTGCTACTGGGCTTATGTTGAAGCTGATTGTTAAACTACTTTAAGTACTCAGAACAACAGATTTGATTTAGCCCTGGGAAGGTGAAGAAAACGGAAGACCCCCCATTTGCCTCCATTTCTCAAAGTACTGCTAAGAGAGGCAGGGTGACAGTGGCATTTTGTAAGAACAGCGTATGTTAAATCAAGTATTCAAGTAACATTATCACTGGTAATTGTCCAGATTTTGGTCATTATATTCGTGTTATGTAAAAGAATGTCCTCGTTCTCAGGAGACACAATCGAGAATTCAGGGGTAAAGGGCCGCATCACAACTTACTCTCAAATGTTTGGTTAAACTACCAAGCAGAAAGGGAGAGGGCGTGGCCATCGCTGTGGGCACAGAAGGGATTCAGAATTCATTGTTCTAGGTATTTCAGCTTCTCCGTGGCTCTGAGACTTTCTAAATACAGTTAGGCAGGGGAAAGAGGTAAGCGGGGGAAATGGGGGACATCTGTAATACTGTCAACAATAAAAATATACTTAAAAAAATAAGAGGAGTTAGTTAAGGGACAACCCCCCCCCCAAAAAAAGTGTTGGGCAGAGGCAGTATGGTGGGAACCTGTGAACCACCTAACACACCCACTCTCACATCTTCTTTGAAAACTTCTACAAGGACACACTTCCTCCTCATCAATCTTAACAGAGCGGAAACAGGGAGCAGGGGTAGTGCGGTACAGGAATTTTTTCATGGGGATTTCCATTTTTAAAGTCTTCGTGAACTGGTCTTGGGTGAACTAGAAGAACTATGCTCCAAAGCACACACTATAAACTGTGTCCACCCCAGGGCCTCTGATTAGGGGCCAGCATGACTCAACAAAGAAGCACGGGAGGTGGAGGCCAAGGAAGCTGCCCAGCCCTTCTCCAGCAACATCGCAGCAGGGAACAGGGCAGGTTTTCAACACAGGCAGAAACATCAGCGTTACACAAGCTCAGAGCTGGGAAGTGGGAAAGGTCACTCTCTTCTCCCTCGAAAACACCTCATCCTCTCTCATAGTAAGAAAGGACAATATATTAACCACTTGCTACTGCTTCAAAGATGGGGAGTTTTCCTTCTGTGAGGGGTCACTCACTGTATCTCATCCCATCACGGGATACAGAAAACCAGGTGCTCAAAGCCAGAGAAAGAAAAAAGAAAGGGCCCTGCTTCTCAAGTCTACTGCTGAATGTGAATGTCCTGCCTGACTTCTGAAATTAGGGCTGAAAACCTTCAACTCAGGTTCTATTTATTAACTATTAGGGAACCTTAACTCTCACTCACTTTGGAAATTAAAAGACAAAAAAAAGTTATTCTGTAGGATACACTAACCCATGAACCACTTTCCAGTTCTCAGATGAGTCAACTGATTAAGTACAAAAGACATACAGTAGTGTGTGCAAAGAGATGTTCTTTAAAAATAAGGAAACAAATAAGTAAATTATTTATAGTGTGTACGTCACACAATAGGCCAAAGGGCTATAGCTGAACACGCCCCTTGTTCGGCATTGTGCCCATACTGCACATGACAGAGCCCGCAGTGTCCATTTCCTGTGAGAAATGAGGGTGGAAAATCCACTTAGACAAAAAAGCCCTGGTCAAGTTCTTATCCCTGTAGAAGAGTAAAGACTGTAGTACATAAGACCACGGACCACATGTACACATGGGAACACCTGCGCCCTCAGCTGAAAAAGCCTGTTCTTGGTAGGCAGTGGGAAGGAGGGCTGCAGACCTCTGCAAATTCAGCTGCCACTATCAGGAGCAGCCGCGTGGCTCCGAGTAGCTCCTTTGGAACCCTGTTTAGGACACCAGCCTGAGGTCCTTTGAGGTGTTGTCTCTCCCTGAGATGTACAGATAAAACTCTAGGATGGAGTCTAACCCTACTCATAACACAAGTGGGTCCAAAGCACAGGAAGGTTTCTTCAATGTAATGAAACTGTTCTCGGATCTTCAATGCCTGGTGGGTTTCTCACAGCTCCCTCCCACAGAGCACACAAGGAGAGAGTAGAAATTGTTGGTTTGGGATGGGTGTGATGTATGCATAGAATTCACACGCCTGGGAAAGTTAATCTTATGTATCACTTTGGGCTAACGATTGCCCAGAGGGCTAGTAAAACCCTACTTTGGGGTGTTGTCTATGAGGGTGTTTCAGAAGAGATTAGCATCTGAATCAGTAGACTGGAGAAAGCAGATGCCCTCCTGCCCCCATCCAGTCTGTCGAGGGGCCCAAAAGAACTAATAAGCAGACGAGTGTAAATCTGCTCTCTTCTAGCTTGAGCTGGGACTTCTATCTTCTCCTGCCCTGGGATATCAGTGCCCCTTGTTCCTGGGCCTCCAGACTGGGCTGCAATGTACACTACTAGCTCCCCAGCTCTCAGGCCCTCTGATCTGGACTGGAGCTACACTACCCGCCTCCCTGGGCCTCCAGCCTGGAGAGGGCAGATACTGGGACTTCTCAGCCTCCATAATCATGTGAACCAATCCCTCCTAACAACTTTTGCTACCTCTGCTTCACTGGAGAACACCAACTAACACCCTTACAAGGAAGACACAATGTTTTAAATAGTGTACTCACATTTCTACTGCAGGACAAGCAGTAGAAACCTCATACTAAGTAAATACTGTGGGAAGGGGGGACCTCAGTGCTGTTACAGTGCCCCCTCTCCAATTAAAAGATGAATGCAGACCTTGCCAAGGGGACCTGGGCAGCGAACCCCATAACACCATGACACCACTCCTCCCATCTGAAGGTGTTGCTGATGAGAGAAACAACAGTTCACCCACCACCAAGCCAGGACTTAGGGCATATCTAGGAGTCAAAGAATGGGATTACTATGAGCTAAAGCAGATGAGAACGGCTTCCAACTGGACTGACAGTAAGTGCACATGGGCTAGAACCGAGCTGCTTTTTACCCAAAACACCGACAGCTCTAGTTTAATTCCTGAACACTTCAGGGTATTTCCTGACCGCACCCTCAGCCACCGAGAGATTCTCGTGCCATCACAGATTCTTTGGGCAGACACCCACTCCGTTTGCTAAAAAGTACTCATCCCGTTTCTGCTGAGAACTCAACTGAGGCCAAAAGTTCCCTCCACCGTGTGCAGCCGGAGCGCTCCGTGAACGAGCGGCGCAGACACGCCCAGAATTGCGCGTGGAAGGAGGCTGAAGAAACTGCCTGAATATACAGAGGAGAGGCGTCTGCTGTGCAGGACGGGTTGCTGAGAAAACCACTGGCCCCGGGCGGGGCGGGTCACTTCTACTTGTAAAGGTCTTGAAAGCAGAGAGAAGAAGCCGGCCCCGGCCCCTTTCCCACCACCAGGGGCCTCACAGGCACCGTGCCCACGGCGGCCAGCCTGACTTTCCTGACACAGGTCGG